CTTTCTTTCTTTTTCTCCGTAGACGAAAAATATATTGTTTAAAAAATATATAAATAACAGTCAATAACTTCAGAACTCAAAGAGATGTATCTAATATCTTTCATACATTGTGTAAGTATTAATTCACATTCATACTTTTTTATTTCGCAATGGACACTTTTTAAAAGTATTTTAAAGTATTGTTGGATTGTTGGTAGGGGAAAGAGGGAACACGAACAGGGCCACTTTTGTTATTTATTGTGCCAGACGTTATGATGTCCGGGTGTCCTTAATGGTCTAGATTAGGTTTATTTGTGATGCTTATATCATTCATTAAATGTTGATATGTGGTGCTATGACACTGTAAAATTCATGATGAACATTCAGCGTCTGAATTTCATGATGAACAATTTTTAGGGAAGCATATACTTTCATGGCGGCTCCTACCCCCTCTATCCTTCCCACGATCTCCTTACCCCTACCCTTGCCCCTCTTTCGACTCCTACCGCCCCCCCTTCCTCCGATTCCCTACCCCCCACCCCTTCCACCCCCCCGCCCCCCCCCCCCTTTCCCCCCCTCCCCCTCCGATTCCTACCCCCTCCCCGAACCCCCTGATTCCTACCCCCCCCCCAATGCCACCTCCTTCCGACTCCTAACCCCCCCCTCCCTCTGAATTCTTACCCGCCCATCCCGAACCCCCGCTTTCCCCCTCCCCCTCCAAGACTTTCTCTCATCATCACCCCTCCGATTCCTACCCCATCCCTTCCATGCCGCCGCTTCCCAACCGACTCCCCCCACCCCCAACCTAACGACTCCTACCCTCCCGCCCCCCATCCACCCAGCCACCACCCCACCCCACCCAACCCGCCCACCCCCATGCCCCCCCACCAACCGCGCCTGGAAGTTTTCATCCCGCCGTAATTTTTTTGGCAGAGTGTTGCGTAACTTCTCGTTCTCGAAACTGTAATGGCGCTTTGGGCAGGGTGTTCCAGTACAACTCGGGCGCGGCGTGTACCTCCCGACGCAAAGACCGTCTCTTGGCAGCGTTTGGCAGCGGGGTTGGGGGACTTCGGAGAGGAGGGGGAGGAGGAGGGGAGGGGAGGGTAGGGGGGATCAGACGGGTTGGGAACTTCGGAGAGGAGGGGAGGGGGAGGGGGTCCAGCGGGTTGGGGGGACTTCGGGAGAGGAAGGGACGGGGAGGAGATCAGCGGGGTTGGGGGGGACTTCGAGAGAGGGGGAGGGGGAGGGTGGGGTGGTCAGCGGGTTGGGGACTTCGAGAGGAGGGGGAGGGGGGAGGTCCAGGCAGGTTGGAGGACTGATCGAGGAGGGGAGGGGGAAGGGGGGGGGGGGTCAGTCGGTTTTTATGGGACTTCGAAGAGGGGTTGGGGTGGGGGGGTGAGAGGGGTGGAGGGTGTTATTGGTATGTCAGGACACCCGTTTAAGGTGTTTCCGGTCTGTTTATTTATTTATTTATTATATTTTATTTACTCCCTTTGGGGAAGGAGGAGGGTTAGAAAGGGGGAAGAGGGGTAAAGGAAGGGAGGAGGGAGAGGAAGGAGGGGAGGAAGGGGAGATAGGAGGGGAGGAGAGGGAAAGGGGAGGGTTGGGGGGGGGGGAGGGGAGAGGCAAGGAGAGGAGGGAGATAGAGGCGAAAAAGACGCAGCAGCTATGACGTCATTAACACCGGCAGATAAGCCATGTTCGATCACGTGACACGGTGAACCCCGTCACGGCTGCTTTTCCCGCCATTTTTCGCCGAGCTGAACACCGCAAACTCGGCTTCATTTGTTCATCAACTGGACAGACTCATTGGGGGGGGGGGCGGTGGGGGTGCAAACGACGCGGTATTATTTCTTCCATTAGTCAATTTTTTTTTTTTTTTTTTTTTGCCTTGTTTTGGTGTTTGTATATCTCTTTAGTTTTTAGTATTTACTTTTTTTTTTATATCGTTTTTTAATTGTGTCGTGCTGTGTGTGAGTGTTGTGTGTGTGTGTGTGTGTGTGTGTGTGTGCGTGTGTGCGTACTGTGTGCGTAATGTGTGCGCGTATGTGGGTGTGTGTGTGTGTGCTTTGTTGTGTGTGCCATACGCGTGCAAATGCATGTATGTGTGTGTGTATGCAATGCTTGTTTATAATGTGTATAGGTACTTCATTCCATACCTTGCAGACATGTATAATTTCTTCTGTTTCCACTTAATAAGACATCAAATTGGCATCGCGCATGACCTGATCTGACCCCTTCTCCCCCCCCCGCAGGAGCTGGCCAAGGCGCGGGAGGCCGCCGCGAGAGCCGAGAACACGGAGAGCCAAGACAAGATCGAAAGAAAACGCGATGAAGGCCGTTTTTCAAGGTGAGGTTCCGCTTCGCGGGCGGACAGGATTCGACACGCACAACGCACACGCACACGCACACGCACAACACGCACACACGCACACACACACACACACACACACACACACACACACACACACAACACACACACACACACACACACACACACACACACACACACACACACACACACACACACACACACACACACACACACACAGACACACACAGACACACACACACACACACACACACACACACACACACACACACACACACACACACACACACACACACACACACACACACACACACACACACACACACACACACGCAGCGCGCGCGCATACACACATACACACATATACTGCATATACGTACTCACACATTCTGCACTTACATACATATGTGCACATTCAATCGCACACGTGCACTTACACGAAGACATACGGAAGCCTTGCAGTGTACTGTTGTCTCCGAAACTGAATTGATAGGATACATATTTTGCTGCTCTGGCAAGTTGCACACAGCTGATAATTAGAGTCCCAACTCCATTGTGTACTTTAGAAGTGTAAGTAATGGTGTTGTGTGCCGTGTTATACCCTGGCTTCGTGGCCCCATGGCACCCTGGCCCCATGGCTCTCTGGCTCTATAGCACTGGTGGCCTGAACCCTGGCTCTATGGACTCTATGGAACCCTGGCACTATGGCTCCCTGAACCCTGGCTCTATGGCTCCCTGAACCCTGGCTATTCTGGGGCTGGCTCTATGGCACCCTGGCCATCTGGCACTCCCTGGAACTCTATTCCCTGGCTCTAAACCCTGGCACTATGGGCTCCCTGAACTTGGAATGGCTCTATGGGCCCCTAATGGCTCTATACCCTGGAAACCTGCTGGCCTAATGGAAACCCTGGCCCCTATACCTGGCTCCCTGGCTCTATGGAACCCTATGGCTCCCTGAACCCTGGCTCTATGGAACCCTGGCACTATGGATCCCTGGCCCCATGGCACCCTAGCCCTATGGCACCCTAGTCCCGCGGTGCCGGTGCTGGATGCTGGAACGTAGGGGAAGGAGGAGATAAAATGGCAGTGACAGAAACCGCTGTTGTAGCTAAAGTGTTAGAGATGCAGCGTGATCTTAATGACTGATTCAGCTGCCAACCTCATCTTTAATTCGATTAGATTTCAAGGTATAGTCGTATGATAATCAAATTTTGCAAAGGCATCTGCATAATTAAGATGTAAAAATATACACATTCATCATTGACAAAGACAAATGGCGCCAGTTTTGAAATTAGGCGAATTTTACGTCAAAGTGACCTGGCGACCGGACCTTCAGAAAGGAGAGTCCAGCCTGTAAATAAGGGATAAAAAGCAGTTCCAATGACAAGCACCGCAGCCGCTGTCAGGCGCGGAGAACTCATGGCTTGACAGCGGCGAGAACGTCCTTTGCTGTCAAGGGGTCCCGTCCAAGGTCTATATAAGTACGTGCTTCTATAGACCTTGGTCCCGTCGACTGTCGTTGCTCGTGTTGAAATGCAGTGCGGCATGTTTCTTCGTCGCAATAGACGGTCGGTTTGTTAAAGTTGTGCAAGGCCCGACCCAATGAACATTTGTAAATACAGACATGCATATATATAGAAATAGATACATATCTGTCTATCTATCAGATATATTTACATTTATCTATCTATCTATACATTTATTTCTATGTATATGCGTATCCGTATAAGGAATATCCATTGGGTCGGGCCTCGCACAATCGTAACAAACCGAGCCAGAGTCAGTCATTCGGAAATAAACGGACGAGTAAGCATGACTTTGGCAAAGCATTTTCTTCCCTCTGATCTTACGTTCTCCTTCTAACGCCAGACCAATCTTCCTTTCTAATTCCCAATTTCCCCCGCCTCTTCCCCAGGCCCGCGAGGCAGAAGCCACCTACAGGAGCTGTGTAGCGGAGGCCAACGACAGACACGCGTCGCTCCTGAAGGTGAAGCGGGACGTCCTGATGCAGACCCGAGAGCTGATCCTGCAGTGCGACCAGACCATGAAGGCGGTCACCGTCTGCTACTTCCAGCTGCAGCACACCGTGGCAGCCCCGGCGCCCGTGCAGGTGAGGACCGAGGGATGGGCGGAGAGGGGGAGGGCGGGCGTGAGTGTAGGGGAGGGGAGGGGGGCAACGGGAGTGAATCAGGAAGGGAAGATTTAGAAGAAGAATTAGAGGGAGGGAGGAAATCAAGAAACATTATATAACGTAAAAGGGGAGGGGAATATTTGCAAAATAAGAACAAAAAATCCAGGATAAAAAAAAAAACACACCACACTCAACAAAAAACGCGCACACAAAAAACACGCACACACAGGGAAAAAGAAAATTAGGCAAATTAAAAAGGGAGAGGGGAATGAATGTGTTGTGAAGCCTTGAATCAGAGCAATTTGGGAGGGTTACCATCATCATTATTACTCTATATCCCGACATATGAGAAAGAACCTGAACCTGTTAAAAAAAAAAAACCCCCCCAAACCCATCCTAAAAAAAAAAAAAATCCAAAATGAACTTCCTGAGGTTCATATCTCACCCACAACAAAAATGAACCCCCCAAAGTTACTCTCAGAACAAGCCCTACCACTTAAAAACCTCTGCTGCCAAAATGAAACCCCTGTTATTGGTGCACTAAACTAATAAAGAGTGTATTAAAGCGACAAATTGTTTTCTGAACTTGTCTGTCGTGCCAAAGTTGAGAAAGAAGTCGCGGGGAAGCGAACTCTGGGCAATAATTGACAAACTTCTAAGGAGAATAAAGATTGACAAACTTCTAAGGAAAATGTAGTTCAAGCCTGTATATTAAGGAGGGTCTTGTACGCTGAAATATATTCTTACGATCATGTTATTGCTTTTGTTATCTTTGTTATTATTGTTATTTTTTTACTTAATAATAATAATAATAATAATAATAATAATAATAATGATAATGATAATGCTGATAATGATAGTATTGATATCAACGATCGTAATAATAAAAATGGTGATGGTAATGATGATAGTAATGATAGTAATAATGTTATTGATAATAATGTAAATAATGATAATGATCATAATGATAATTATAGTGGTGGTAATAATAATGATAATAGTAATGATAATAGCAATAGTAATAATAACAATAATAATGATAATAATGATAATAATGATGATGATGATGATGATGATGATGATGATGTGATGATGTGATGATAATGATAAAGATGATAATAGTGACAATAATAAAATTCTACAAGAAAGTTATTGTTGTTATTATTATTATTATTATTATTATTATTATTATTATTATTATTATTATTATTATTATTATCATCATCATATTGTTATTGTTATTGTTATTATTATTATTATCATTATATTTATTATTATTTATTATTATTATTATTATTATTGTTGTTGTTGTTGTTGTTTGTTGATTTATTATTATTATTATTATTATTATTATTATCATTATTATTATTGTTATTATTATTATTATTATTATTATTATTATTACCCCACCCCCTCCAAGATCTCCCCCACCCCACACCCTACACACATCTCCACCCCCCCTCCCCATCACCCCCACCCCACACCCTACCACACACACACCCCACACCACTCCACCCCCCCACTCTCCCCCTCCCCCCCCCTTCACCTCTACCCCCCACCCTCACTTGTACCCCCCCCTCCCAAGATCCCGATCCCCCGATCCGCGAAACAAGCGACCTCTCCCAGACCTCATTGCGCGAACTTTAAACAGTTGGCGCGGAAACGTAAATGGATTTGGCGCGGGGATCGGGGAAGTCTTTCAGGGACGAGAGGGAGAGTAAATAAAGTTTGAGACGACGGAGAGTCGCCCATTTTGCATATTCGGGGAAATGATGAGGGTGAGAGTGGGGGGAGTTGGGGGGAGTGGGGTGGGAGGGGGTGGGGGGGGGTGGGGTAAGTAGGGAGAGTGGGGAGAGTGGGGAGTGGGGAGAATAAGGGGCGTGGGGGTAATAGTTGAGAGTGGGAAGAGTGGGGAGAGTGGGGGTTAGTAGGGAGAGTGAGAGAGGGAGAGAGTGGGAGGTAGCAGGGGAGAGTGGGGAGAATAGTGGGAGTGGGGGGTAGTAATTGAGAGTGGGAAGAGTGGGGGTTAGTAGGGGAGAGTGGGGAGAGTGTGGGGAGTGGGGAGAATGGGGGAGTGGGGGGGAGAGTGGGGGAGTGGGGAGTAGGGAGAAGAGGGAGAGAGGGAGAGAGTGGGGAGAGTGGGAGGTAGTAGGGAAGAGTGGGAGTGGAAGAGAGGAGTGGGGAGGGAGAAGGAGAGTGGAGAGGGAGAGGAGAGAGAGTGCGTGAGAGTAAGTGAGAATGAGTGACTGAGAAATCACACTCAATGGGGGCATATCACATATATCCAATATCCTTTCTGTTATATGTTTGATGTACAAACGGACCACCAGCAAGAAAAAAGAGAAAGAAAAACAAAACACTCTTAAAAAATAAATAAATAAAGAGATTCTGCGGGTAGGAAGTGCCAGTGGGAAGTATTGCATCTTCCCATGTCATCCTTTTGCATCCTATGTTATCTTATTGTATCTTATCTCATTCCATTTAATTTTATTTAATTCCATTTCATCTTGTTTCATCTTACTTCATCCCGTTTCACCTTATTTCATCCCACTTCATCTTATTTCATCATGTCTCATCTAATTTCATCCCATTTTATCGTATTTCATCTTATTCCATCCCATTTCATCCCATCTCATTTCCATTTCACCTTATTTCATACCATTCTTCCCAAACACTTTTTTTAGCATCATGCGTTTTATTCCCCTATTTTTATCAGCTCCTTTCTCCCTTTTATCAGCTCCCTCTTTCCCCTTTTATCAGCTCCCTATTCTCCCTTGCCGGCACCTCCCTAATTCTCCCTTTTATCAGCTCCCCATATTCTCCTTTTATCAAGCTCCCTCATTATCCCCTTTTGCCAAGCTCCCTAATTCTCGCCTTTTATCAGCTCCCTATTCTCCCTTCGCAGCTCCCTATTCTCCCTTTTATCACCTCCCTATTTCTCATTCTCCCTTTTATCAGCTCCCTATTCTCCCACCTCTCTATTCTCCCTTTTAATCAACCTCTATTCTCCTTTTATCAAGCTCCCGTATTTTCCCTTTGTATCCTCCCTATTCTATCAGCTCCCTTTAATCACCTCTCCCTCCCTTTTATCACCTTCCCTATTCTCACCTCCCTATTCTCCTTTTATCACCTCCCTATTCTCCCTTTTATCACCTCTCTATTTCTCCCTTTTAATCACCTCCTTCTTCCCTATTTATCACCTCCTATTCTCCCTTTTATCAGCTCCCTATTCTCCCTTCCGCAGCTCCAGACCCTCTGCGAGAGCTCCAGGTTATACGAGCCGGGGTCCCAGTACATGGAGTTCGTGAAGCGACTGGGTCCTTCCCTCGGCCAGGAGACCCCAGAGACGCCCTTCAGCTTCGAGTCCTACACGCCAGGACAGCAGGACGCCCCTCACGACCACGCGACCAATGGCTCCGTTCCTGGGGATGACCTGCAGGGTAAGAGAAGGGGTTGGCGGGGGAGGGAGGGAAGGGGTCAAGGGGTCAAGGGGTCGTGGGAGGTGTGGGTTATGGGGTTTTGGGGTCGTGGAGGTGTGGGTACGGGGTTCTGAGGTCGTGGGAGGTATGGGTCCGGGGTTTCCAGTCGTTTGGGGAGTTCAGGGTCATGGAAAATCGAGGTCAGGGGCGTTTGGAGGAGTGGGATTTCGGGGTCACGAGAGTTTAGGGTTTTAGGAATTCATTAGAGGTCACGCGATAAGATTGGGGGGTCACGGGAATTTAAGGATCACAGGAGTTAGAAGAGGTGGGGGGTCAGGGAATTTCGTAGTTATAATTCAAAGGATACAGGGGATAGGGGTAGAGATAGGAATTCAGGGTCACGGGATTTCGTAGTTATAGGATTCAGGGTCAAGGGGTTTCGTAGTTATAGGATTCAGGGTCAAGGGGTTTCGTAGTTAGGAATTCGGTCACAGAAATTCTAGGGTCAATTAAATTCCGTTAGCATTTTTGTTGGCTTCTTTAGAGTGGGTCCATATTTTTGCTCGTTTGTTCCATTTTTTTGTGTAGTCCATTAAGGCAATGTTTTATCATAATTCAGGTTAGTTTGATTCAATTCATCAATAATGGATATTAACATATTATGATTATTACATTATTATTTTTTATGGTTACTATTATTATTATCATTATCAATACTATTATTAGTGTTTAGTGTTATATATTGTTATATCATTATTATGATTGTTTATCATTTTATGGATTATCATCACGATTATAATTTCGGCACATTTCTTATTTTAAAAAATCCGCATTTCTTTTTTAAGCACCGTTGCAATTTTCAGTAAAAAATTCCATTACAGTTATTCTAGGAAAAACGCAGTAAAGAATGAAATAGTTTTGGCAGAGGCACAAATTTGTAAACCAATTTCTATCCGGCTATTGTAATTTCATTGCGTTTTAGAAGACCGATTTATGGTTCATCTCGTTTATTGAACATGTGGAAGGATTATGTTGCAATGACGAGTGTATGTTGTTTGTCTTTGCTTCTCTCTCACTCTCTGTGTCTCTGTTCTCTCTGTCTCTGTCTCTTGTTCTCTCTCTCTCTTCTCTACTCCTCTCTCTCGCTCCTCTATCTCTCCTCTTCCAACCCTCTCTCTCTCTCTCTTCTCTCTCTCTCTGTTCTCTCTCTCTCTCTCTTCCATCATGATATAATAATATATATTATAATTCCTCTCTCCTCTCCTCTCTCTCCTCTCTCTCCTCTCCTCTCCTCTCCTCCCTCCCTCTCCTCTCCTCTCCTCTCCCTTCTCTCCCTCTCTCCCTCTACCTCCTCTTCCTCTCTCTCGTCTCTCTCTTTCTCTCTCTTCTCTCTTATCTCTCTTCTCTCTCTTGCTCTTCTCTCTCTCTCTCCATACCTTCTCTCTCTCTCTCTCTCCCTCTCCCTCTCCTTCCCTCTGCCCTCTTCCCTCTCTCCTCTCGTCTCTCTCTCGTCTCTCCCTCCTCCCTCTCCTCTCTTTCCTCTCTCCTCCCCTCTCCTTTCTCTCACCTATTCTCCTTCTCTTCATCCTGCTTTCACCTCCTGTTGCACCAACTGCTCGCGCAAGCGACTCCTTATAATCGCAGTGGGCAGACTGGCGGGCCGGATGGCAGGCACGGACGCGTTCGGTCGTGAAGTAGCCAAGAGGCCGAGCCTCCACACGGCGGTGCCGCTCGGTCCACGCCTGCGCCCACAACGCCTCTCCGTCCGGGGATGAGCTGGAGACCGACCCCGAACAGGTAATTGTTGTTTGGACTGGAGTCGAGCCTGACACAGGTAATAATTGCTTGGGATGGAGACGAGGAAGACTTTTGACGCAGGTCAAGGGGTTTGGGATTTGGAGGTGACCTTTGAACAGGTACAAGGGGTGGGACCTGGGAGACGAACTGACCAGGTAATGATCGTTTGGGACTGGAGACCGAAGAAGATTTGAGCAGGTACAAGGGGTTGGGACTTGGAGATGACTTGACACAGGTAACAGGGATTGGGACTGTAGGCGACCTGAACAGGTAATATCGTTTGGGACTGGAGACGCGAAGGAAGATTCTGACGCAGGTAACAGGGGGTTGGGACCTGGGACGTCCCTGAACAGGTAATATTGTTTTGGGACCTTGGAGATCGACGTTGGAGCAGTGCTAACAAGGGGTTGGGACTGGAACCGACCCTGAGACAGGATAATCGGAAGGAATTGGGCTGGAGACGTCTGAACAGGTAAAGGAGTTTGGGACCTGGAAAACCGCCTTGAACAGGTAACAAGGAGTTGGGACCTGGAAACCGACTGACAGGTAACAAAAGGAGTATGGGACCTGGAGACCTTCCCTGACACAGGTAACAAGGAATTGGGACCGACTGAAGACGACCTTGATCACAGGTACACACCAAGAGGGTTAAAACCAAGAAGGGAAGGATGGGATACAAGGGACTGAACCATTAGGGGATAACAAATGGAACCATGTGGGATTTGGTTTGGAATCCCAAGAGATGGAACCATAAAGGAGATAAGAAGGTCACCGAATAGAACCATAAAGGATTTGAGTGGCATCGGATGATATAAGGGGATGGGACCACAAGTGACAAGGGATATAATCACAATCGACAAGGGATGGAACCTCAATGGGGAAGGGATAAGGCCACGAGAGACAGGGCTGGAACGACAGATGATAGATGATAGAACCATAAGGGATAAGAAATAGAATCACAGGAAGTATGCATATATTCATGTGTGTGTGTGTATATGTGTATATATACATCAATAATATTAATTAATATATACTATCATATATTATATAATATATAATATATATATATATATAATATTTATATGTATATGTATATATTATTAAACGAGAAGAGAGAGAGGAGAAGAAGAAAGAGAGAAGAAAGGAAAGAAGGAAGAATAGAAGGAGAAAGGAAGAAAAAGAAGAAAGAAAGAAGAAGAAAGAAAGAAGAGAGAGAGAGAGAGAGAGAGAGAGAGAGAGAGAGAGAGAGAGAGAGAGAGAGAGAGAGAGAGAGAAAGAGAAAGAAAGAAAGAAGAAGAGAAGAAGAAGAAGAAAAGGAAAAGAAAGAAAGAAAGAAGAAGAAAGAAGAAAGATAGAGAAAGAGAAATATCTCGTTAGGATGGCAAATATTTAAGTGGTAGGCATCGTGAGGAAGGATACATTTCCGGATATCATCGATTTCCAATAAGTTGATAGCGAGACATCGCGAATTTGGGCGAATAAACATCTTGTTTTTTATGTACAACCACATCTTCCTCTTCGGTTTTGCAGACACTAACGTATACATTTACTCTAAGAAACGTACATGTCATTGTTCATGTCATTGTCCATACGTGTATACTAGTGTTTTGTATGCGTAATATAGTTTCCATATACGTACAATTCACACATAATGACCTCAATTGCTTCAGCCTCATTCAGCTTTCATTTTTTCACCCCAGCGGACACCCAATATTGTTTCCATATACGTACAATTCACTCATAATGACCTCTATTGCTTCAGCCTCATTTAACTTACCTTGTTTCACCCTAGCGGACACCCACTACCTGCGGGGGACACGGCTTCAGGTGATGAGCAAGGCCGCCGTCACCCACGCCTTCAGGAGACTCAAGACGCCGTCCAGGTGCCGCGAGTGTGACTCCTACGTGTACTTCCATGGCTACGAGTGTGCGGAGGTAAGGTGTTTGAGGGAGAGGGAGAGGGGAGGAGAGAGGGAGGGGAGGGGGGAAGGGGAGAAAAGAGGCAGAGGGGGACGGCAAGAGGAGAAGGGAGGCGGGAGACAGAGGGTGGATGGAGAGGGGAGAGGGAGGGAAGGGGAAGGGGAAAGTGGAGGGTAGGGGAGGATTGAGGGGGGAGAGGGGGGGTGGGAATGAATGAAAGAGGGAGGGGAAAGCGAATGGGGAATAGAAGGGATGAGTGAGTGTAGAGCTGGAAAGAGTAGATAGAGATAGAAAGGATAGAGAGATGAGTATATTAGATGATATATGAGAGAGAGAGAGAGAGAGAGAGAGAGAGAGAGAGAGAGAGGCAGAGAGAGAGAGAGAGAGAGAGAGAGAGAGAGAGAGAGAGAGAGGAGAGGAGAGCATACGATATAAAAAACAACTCCTAAAAAACACACACCACCACCACAACACCATTTCTAGACACCATCCCTCTTACATCCGCAGCTGCAATGCTCGGAGTGCAACAAGAAACGCAACTATAAGACAACTACGGAAATGACAGCTGGCCAATTCGGCAGTGGGGCGATCAAGGGTCATGCCATGCTGGAGGCTTAGAGCACTTCGAGCGTGTCCCTGGCGCAGCACACCTGAGGCGGAGACAAACGCCCCCGTGCGCACCCTCGTCTCAAGTGCAGTAGTTGCGGAGACGCGCCACCCATGTGGGTGAAGGCACAGAAAGGAATGAGGGGAAGGGTGGATTGGTGAGGGGAGGAGGGCGGGAGGGAGAAAGGTGAGGGGGGGGAGGTGTAGGGAATGGTGAGGGGAGGGTGTATGTGGGTAGAAAGGTTGATGGGAAGGGTGATGGTGACGCTGCGAGGAAGGGGCGGGAGGAAGGTGAGGGGGAAGGGTTGTGGTGGGGGGTGAAGGTGAAGGGGAGGGTGATGGTGGGGAGGAAGGTAGTGGGAGGAGGGGGAGGAAGGGCGGGGGGAAGGTTGAGGGGAAGGGTGATGGTGGGGAGGAAGGGCGGGAGGGAAGGTGAGGGGAAGGAGGGCGGGAGGGAAAGGTGAGGTGGTAAGGGTGATGGTGGAGTGGTAGGTGATTGGTAGAGGTAGTAAGGGCGGCGGGGGAAAGGTGAGGGGAAGGGTGATGTGGGGAGGGAAGGGCGGTGAGGGAAGGTGAGGTGGTAGGGCGATGGTGAGGGAGTAAGGGTGGGAGGGAAGGTGAGGGGAAGGGTGTGGTTGGGGGAGTAAGGGAAAGGAGGGAAGGTGAGGGGGGGGGTGATGGTGGGGGAGGAAGGGGCGAGAGGGAAGGCGAGGGGAAGGGTGGGTGGGTGAGGGAGGAGGGCGGGGGAGAAAGGTAAGGGGGGGGGGGGAATTGTGAGGAAGGGTGAGGGGAAGGGTGATGTGAGGGAGGAAGGTAGTAAGGGGCGGAGGGAGGTGATGGGGTTGGGGGGAGGGAAGGGGGGAGGGAAGGTGGGGGAAGGGTGGATGGTGGGTAATTAAGGGCGGGAGGAAGGGCAGGGGAGTAAGGTGAGGGAAGGCTGATGGTGGGGAGTAGGGGGAAGAGGGAGGTGAGGTGGGTAGGGTGATGGTTGGGGGAGTAAGGGCGGGAGGGAGTGTGCGGGGAGGGTAGGTGAGGTAGTAAGGGCGGGGGGGAGAAGGGTGAGGGGAAGGGTGATGGTCGGGGAGGAGGGCGGGGGAAGGAAGGTGAGGGGAGGGTGATGGTGGGGAGGAAGGGCTGGAGGGAAGATGAAGGGGAAGGGAGATTGGTGGGGGGGAGGAAGGGCGGGGGGAGAAAGGTGAGATGGGAAGGTGAGGGGAGGGTGATGGTGAGGCGGGAGGAAGGGTGGGAGGGAAGGTAGGGGAGTGAGTGATGGTGAGGGAGGAAGGGTGGGAGGGAAAGGGAGGTGGTAGGGTGGGATGGTGGAGGTGGTAGGGTGATGGTGAGGTAGTAAGGGCGGGGGGGAGAAAGGTGAGGGGAAGGTGATGTGGGGGAGGAAGGGCGGGAGGGCGGGGGGGAGGAAGGTGAGGGGAAGGGTGATGGTGGGGAGGAAGGGCGGGAGGGAAGTGGAGGGGAAGGAGGTGGTAGGGGGAAGAGGGAGGTGAGGTGAAGAGGAGGGAGGTGAGGTGGCAATGGAAAGGGGGAAGGAGAGGTTGTAGAGGGAGGGGAGATGATAGGGAGAGGGTAGGGTAGGGGAGAAAAGGGAGAGTGGGTAGGGGGAAGCTGAGGTTGTAGGGGAAGAAGGGAGGTAGTAGGGAGGTGAGGTGGTAGAGGGTAAGGTGAGGGGAAGCGGAAGGTAAGGTGATAGCATATGGTAAAGTGAGAAGGTTGGAGAAGGTGAAAAAAAAACATACAGAGGATAGAGGAGGTTGAGGCGACAGGGGACGGTAGAAAGGGAGCAAGAGAAAGGATGAGAGAGGTAGGAAAAGACACAGGGAAGGATAAACAAGGGGAGAACCTGGAAGAAAAATGGAAAGAAGGGGAAGGCAAATTAGGAAGGGAGGAATGATGGAGGAAAGAGAGAACAGAGGCAGGGGATGGAGGAAAGAGGGAATCAAAAAGAGATAGAGAAAAAGACGAAGAAGGGAAGGAAAGTGGAGGCAAATTAGGAAGTAGGAAGGGGGGAGAAGAGAAAGAGAAAAAGAGAAAAGGATGCGTAGTGAAAAAAAGGACATGAAAATGAATATTTAAACAAATTAAGCTGCAGAAAAGAAAGATAGAAAGAAGAAAATGGATGATGGCATAAGCAATGATACTAAATGAAATAGTAGTGATAATAAAAATATATATGAAATGTTAATGATAGTAATATCAATGATGATAGTAATAATGAAAATGATTACAGTGATGATAATGATAATAATTATAGTAATAATAATGATAATGATAATAACGATAATCACGAAAATGATATTGATAATATAGACAATGACAATGGTAATAATAACAATATAACATTAATGACAATAATGTTAATAACAATAGTAATAATATTAATGATGATGATAGTGCTAACGATGTTGATGATAATGATAATGGTACAGATAAGAATAAAGATAAATATCAGAAAAACGAATGAGAATAAAACAGTATAGAAGGATCCAACACGGGAGAAAGAGTGGCCCAGAGACAGGGCGATCAATTATTCAAAGGACCAGAGTAAAGTTTGGGAATAAAAGGAGGAACAGAAAACAGAAGAACAAATCGAGGAAAGCGGTTTGAAAAAACTTGGGATGAAAAATGAGTCCGAAGGTTTGGTCCGAGGTCGATTCTGGGTTAGGGTGAAGGGTGAAGGGGTCAAGGGTGAAGGGTAGGGTAGGGTGAAGGGGTGAGGGTGAGGGTAGGGTAGGGTGAAAGGGTCAAGGGTGAGGGTAAAGGGTGAAGGGTAGGGAGGGTGAAGGGTGAGGGTCAAGGGTAAG